TTTTTTAGTTCTCTTATTCTGTTCTCACTTTTGAGATCTCTGTGGGGTGGTGGAAATGTCCTGTGTTCCCTGGGAACGTGGACATCTCCCCTATGTTCAGGTTCCCTCTGTCTCAGTGGCCTAACCTCACAAGGGAACGTGGTGAACAATGGGGTTGTGAATCTGTGAAATCCTAGTGCTATCCCCTGCAGCCAGGTGCAGCCACCATGTTTGTGGGTGGGCCAAGGTAGGGGAAGCTGGCCTCTGTTTTTGTTGCTTTGTTCTCCCAGTAATGGTGACTGGAGACTTCAGCTTCCCTTCTGTGTCTCCACCCAACCCTGGGATTAGTTGGCAGAGTGTGCCTGTCACTCAGGGAAAAAATGTTTCGGTAGTACCAGTTTTCAGGTTTGCAGATAATTGGCTCTGCAACCCAACACTCACTGCTAGCTTTGGGAGGGTGTGGAGAGGCAGCCACGCTCCATCTCTTTGTTTCTCTGTCTGGAATGCCAGTGGCCTCACCTGTGTGCTGCGTCCCTGCCCAGATCACTGGGTTCTCTGTTCCTCCTGGCTGAAGGAAACCTGATTCCTCACCGCTTAGGCCGAGACCCACCGTGAGATCCAGGCTGCGTTCCTGACACCATCTTACCCTTCCCCCTTTTCACCTCCCCGGTTTGCTTCCACTTGCCCACCTTCAGTTGTTTCAGTGTACGAATCTCTCAGACATGTTTGTACATTGAGCATGGAATCCTTTGTTGAATTATAGCTGTTCAAATTGTTGATACTTCCAGGGAAAAGACCATGGGACCTCTAAGGATGCCATTCCTCTGATCACAAATCCCACTTCTGATACCAGATGTGTCAGGGTTTTCCTTAAGACAACTCTCAGGTTCTGTGATTTACTAGATAGGCCCACAGGACTCAGGGGAGCTGTTATACTGTTATACTCGTGGTCTTGGTTTATTATATAGTGAGAGGACACAGGTTAAAATGAGCAAAGGGAAAAGGCATATGGGACAAGCTTATAGCAGTCCTTTCCCAGTGGCTGTGTTTAATTCTCTCTGCGACTGTGTGTGACAGCATGGGCAAAGTGTGGTCAAATAGGGAAGTTCATTTGAGCCTGCTGTCCGTGGATTTTATCAGGAATAAGTCACTATGCACACAGGGCCTCTTTGAACAACTTCAGCTACTCATAATCCAGGCCCCAGAGCAAAAATATACTCACTAGGAATCACAGAGTTAGAATAAACTCTCTAATCAATACACTACCAACTGGCCCAAGGCTCCAGGCACATACAGACATTCATTATGCAGAATTTTCCAAGGTCTCATAGCTTTTCTTCCAGGAATCCACCAGGAGCCAGTCCTGAAGAAGGGCCTTTCTTGGTAATGTGCGCAGTTTGTGTGACCTTGGCCTGCTGAGTTAACCTTCTCCTTAACCTTTGTCTTTTTATTCTCTTAACAGTGTCTTTTGAAGAACATAAACTCCTAATTTGATTAATTCTATTTTATCAAGTTGTCTTTTAAAGTTTTTGCACAAATATGGGAAATATTTGTCCAACTTGAAGGCCACAAAGTTTTTCTTGCATTTCTTTTAGAAATTTTTAGTGTTAGATTTTACACATAGATCTATGATCCATTTTTGCAGTAATTGTGAAATGAGTTATTAATAAAGATTCCTTTTTTTGCATGTAGTTACAAAATGTTACAACACAAGTTGTTGAAAGAACTATCGTTCTGTTTTGGATTTCCTTGCACATTTCCTGAAAATTAGTTGACTATATGTATATGGGTGGATCTGTTTCTAGACTCTTCATTTGTTCTCCATTCTGTGCTTTGGCTATTTCACTTCCTTGGTTTTGTGTTTCAATCTTAGTTCAATACCATATTGTTTTATTTACTGAAGCTTTATAATCTTGAAATTAAATAGTATGAGTTATTTAACTTTGTTCTTTACTAAAATTGTTTTATATTTTCATATAAATTAAATTTGGCTTGTCATTCTGTGCTATAAAAAAGCTTACTAGAATATTATTGAGATTGTCCTGAATCTCTAGTTCAGAGCTGATGTCTTTAACATAGTGAGTCTCAGTTCAGATCTATGAACACTGCATGATCTCTGTGTTGATTTAGGTCTTTATTTGGTATTTTAAAAACTTATCTCACCAGTATTTTGTACTTCACTATATCAGCACACTAAAAAAGAAAAAAAACTTGATCATTTCAATGAATTCAGAAAGAAAAAGTGACAAAATTTAACATTAATTCACAGTTTTTCTTAAAAAGAATTATACTCAGAGAGAGGAGGAAGAAGAGAGAGAGAAACATCAATTTTGTTGTTCCACTTAGTTATGTACTCATTGATAGATTCTTGTATGTGCCCAGACTGGGGATCAAATCTGCAACCTTGGCATATCCAGATAACACTCTAACCAATTGAGGTATGCAGCCAGGGCTAATTCATGATTTTAAAAAGGAGTTTGTAAGTTGTAATTGACATGTGGAAGTCTTTTATATATTTTGTCATATCATTTCTTTTGTATTTCATTATTTTTGATGCTATTAAAATAACATTCTTTTTTAAAATTTTCACTTTCCAATTATTTATTCCTGGTACATACAAATGTAATTAATAGCTATTGATCTTGCAACTAGGGAACATGATAAACTCCTTTATTCTAGTAGCTTTTTTCTATATTTTGTTTGATTTTCTTTGTAGTTAGTCATGTTATCTGACAGCAAAGGCAGTTATACTTATTCATTTCTATCTGGATATATTTTATATCTTTTTCTCAACTTACTGTACTGTCTTGGAGCATTTAGTAATATATTGAATAACAGCGGTGAGAATCAACATTTTTGCTTTGCTCCTGATCTGAGCAGATAGCATTCACTCTGTTAGCACTAGGTTTTTCATTGATACCCTTAATTAAGTTGAGGAAATTACCTTCTGTTACAGTTTATGAAGTCTTTTTGTTTTAATCATAAATTGACACTGAGTTTTGTGACACTCTTTCTGAATGTATTAAGAACAATTTAATTTTTTTTGTTTTGTTGATAGACAAATTACATTGATTTTTAAAAATTGATTTTGGTTGTTTAACTGTACAGCCCTGGAATAAATTCCACTTTGTTGTAACATAGTAGTCTTTTTTTATTCATTGAAATATTTAATTTGTTAAAATTTTATTAAGATTTTTGCATCTGTGTCATGAGAGATATTGGTCTGTGGTTTTCTTTTCTCTTGACATCTGTGTCAGGGCAATACCAGCTTCGTAGAAATTGAGAAGTGTTCTCTGTCATAGAGTTTTTATGGAATTAGTATTATTCCTTGGATGTTTGTTGGAATTTTAGGTGGTCGTCTGGGCCTGGAGTTTTCTTTGTGTGAAAAATTTTAACTACAAATTCAGTTTCTTTACTGCTAGTCAGGTCTTCTCTGAATGAGCTTTGGTAGTTCACATCTCCAAAGAGTTTGTGGCATCTAATTTGTCAAATTTATTGACATAAACTATTCATACTGATATTACTATATCACTATATACTTGATTTTTCTTTCCCATTTGTCCTACCTTTTTTCTGTTACTGCTTTCTTCTCTTCCCACTTTCATGGATTCTGTATATTAAAAAATAAACCCATTTTATTCACACTGTTGGCTTATTAGCTATATCTCTTCATTTTTTGTGTGATTGCTCTAGCATTTATGATATATATTTTTATATTGTCACTGATTTACACTTAGAAAAAGCTAATGGTAACCCTTGACGTTGGGAGAATTAAACACTAGCTAATGTGTTTCAGAAACAAAAGGATAATAGAAAAAGTCCAGAATTCATTGTAATTTCCTATTGCCACACTGTCATATCTGATTTCTTCAAATTGTCAAGCATACTCCAACCTCAAGGACTATGTGATTAAAATTCTTTCTGTCTCTGGAACATTGTTCTACTAGATAAGTGACGTGGCTTCTCTGTTATGTTCTTTCTCTGCTGCCAAACTGTTAACCTGATCGAGAGGTCTTTCCATGTCATACTGCCTACCATGCATATTATACCTGTTCTTTCTTTCTGTATTCTTAGTTTGACTTTTTTTTTTGTTTTTTGTCGTGGAGCTTATTATTCCCTGGAATTATATATTTGTTTGTCTGGAGTCCCCTCTTTGTTCGAGTCGCTTTTGTATCCCTGACTCCTTCATCAGTGCCTGGCTGGTAGTCATTAACTGATTGATAAAGATGTGTTGAATGAATGATATTCATTTGTGTTTGTTTTTGTATAGTCTTCTTAGAAAGTACACCTAATTTACCTGATTGTTGAAAACTCACCATTAAATTTCCTTTTAATAAGAAATTAAAATGTATTGCTCAAAAACCCCATCTTATATATTTTTTTACATTGTTTTTTAATCCTCACCAAGGACATTTTTTCATTGCCTTTTTTAAAGTATATTTTATTGACTATACTATTACAGTTGTCTCATTTTTTTGCTCCCTTTTCTCCCTCTCTTCCCGGTACCCCCATTCTCTCCAGCATTCTTCCCCCCCGACTTAGTTCATGTCCATGGATCGTACATATAAGTTCTTTGAAAGACAAGAAGGGAAATAGGAAGGGAGAGAGAAAAATATTGATGCAAGAAGGAAGCTTTAATTGGTTGCCTCACATATGCACCTGGACCAGGGATCAAATGTGCCCAGACTAGGGATTGTGTGTGCCCAGATCAGGGATCAAACCCACAACTTAGGTGTGTGCCCTCATGCGGAATTGAACCAACAGCCTTTCGTGGTGATACTCCAGCCAACTGAGCCACACCGGCCAGGGTCATCTTATATTTTTTAAATTTTACAGTGGCATATTTCAGAGAACTTAGCACCTGCTGTATATTTTTGTTTCAAAGACTTTATTCTCAGCTTTTTTACTATTGAATTCTGAGTATAAATTTTAGGGTTATACATAAATTTTACTATCATTCAGAAATATAGCTATTTATAGGATTAAAGAGTAAGCAATTAATATGGATTATTTTATTCTAGTTTCAAAAATTGAGACATGATCTTGAATTGGTACTATCTACTATTCAGTCAAAGAATGAAAAGCTAAAGGAAGACTTGGAAAGGTATATTTATATTATTATAATTACTATTCATTATTCATATGTCAAGTTGGCATTAATGTTTTATTTGGCTGCCATTTGTTTTGTTTTTCTCTGTTGAAAGGGAGCAACTGTGGTTGGATGAACAGCAGCAGGTACTCGAATCTCTGATGGTACTGCATAGTGAATTGAAAGATCAGATTGTGACAGTTTCAGAATCAAGGTATTCTTTTTGTGTTCTAGGTTTTTAAAGTAGGAGAAAATATTTTCTTTTCTTTACATGAAATATTAAAAAAGGTAAATTTTACCAGAAAATTGAGTCTTCTAACTTTTGCCATCTGTTACTTACATAATCCTTTACAACTGACTTGATTTTTAGTTTCTATGTGTATTAAATAGAGAATATTACATTTATATTTATATAACTAGTTATATTTGGTTTGTGCAGATTAAATTTGAACAGAGTTCTTAACCTTATGAGTAACCAGTTATGTATACTTATGTATTTTATCAGTGAAATATTTCTCTTAATTTTTTTTTGAAATTTATCAGAATCTTTAATGAGCTGAAAACTAAACTACATGATATAAAAGAATATAAGGAGAAACTATTGCTTGCCTTGAGTGAGTTTCTGGAAGACCACTTTCCTCTGCCTGATAGAAATGTTAAAAAGAAAAAGGTAAGTTTTAAAGAAGACACTCATGTAGATATACATACATGAAATTGTTGATATATTTTTGTGTGTTTAGTATACATTTCAAAGATACACAGATGCATGTAGAGAAATAGTACCTCATCACATTAAAATATTGAAAAATTAGAAGCAACCTTGTTCAATAATACAGGATGAATTAAATGAATTTTTTGATATTATATCCACATCATGGGGGGAAATGCAGCTTCAAAAATATTGAACAATATACTGTCAAAGGAGTTAATGAAATGCTCACAATTTTTTGTTAAATGGATAAAACACAGATGATGAAGCCGTGTTAGTCTAATTTATATCAAAAGATACAATAGTGCTTATGTCTAGGGGCTAGGATTGTAGGAGAGATTTATTTTCATTTTTACTATTTTTCATATTTTCCATGAATACATATAACCTTTAAAGTCAGAGGAATTGTTTAAAAGCTGTTAATGTAAGTTATTGACTAAATAGTAGTTAAGATGAAATAAACCTTTTCTACAAAAGCAGATATTTCATTGGGTGACAGAAGATTGGGAACAACCACTTCAATTTCTTTTTTAAAAACAGTATATTGTTTGAAAACAAACCTGTAGAAGTGGAATAGGCATTGAAAATGCCACCAGGATGATTTTCTAAAAATATATAGTTGAATCATTTTCAACATAAAAGGTTTTTTTAAATCTAAAGGACTTTATTTTTTTTAAGATTTTATTTATGTATTTTTAGGGAGAAGGGAAGGGAGGGAGAAAGAGAGGGAGAAACATCAGTGTGTGGTTGCTTCTCATGCGCCCCCTACTGGGGACCTAGCTCACAACCCAAGCTTGTGCCCTGACTGGGAATTGAACCAGCAACCCTTTGGTGCATAGGCTGGCACTCAATCCACTGAGCCATACCAGGCAGGGACTGAGTTTTCTTTTTGGTATTTGAATCATGCCTATATCATTGTGGAGACTGGTTTGAAAAAAAAAACAAAAAAGACACATTAGACCACATTCAAAGAACAACCATGATACTAAAGGACTACAAGTCTATTGCTTATGAAAAATAATTGAAGGAACTAACGATTAGTATGGAGAAGACTTTGGATTCATAGTAGCTCTCTTAAAATATTTGAGGAACTCTTGCATGGAATTTGAATGAGAAATTTTCTGTCATTTCAAGGATAAAAGAACCAGTGAGTTGAGTTAACATTAGGAACTGTCAAGAACTATAAGTAGATGAACAAGCCAGGAAAGCAAGTTTTCTGTCCTGAAGCAGTATGAATACGGTCTGGAATGCCATTTGTTTGGGATATTTCGATTGGGAGGTTCAAACACTAGATTTTTATATGTAAATATATAATAACTTACCCATTTTATATTTATAGATAGTCTGAATTGTGTCTTCTAGTAACAGCAAAAGAGTTCACTGCCTTAGAGGTTGCTTTAATTGTGTTTTTATGAAGCTATTTAATACAAGCAATTTATTTACTTTCAGAGTTCTTTTTAAATCACCTAATTATAAATGTTTGGTTTTAATATATGTCGTACCTTTGCAATTAAGAAATATTAATTTTTTGAATTTTGTAACACATGCAGTTAAATATCCTGCCATTGTCAGAATTGAAATGTCAGTTCTTTTTATTCATGTTTTTCTCAAAGAAAAATACTCAAGAATCAACTATACAGCTGATAACACTGCATGAAATATTAGAGGTAAGTGTTTTGTGTAGTTGTTTAGTCTTGAAGGTATCTCTTAATTAGCGATTTGTGAACACGTTTACATAGGCTTGAAAAAATACTGCTTTAGTTCTTAAGGTATGTACCAATTTTTATTAGATATATTTATGTTAATTTGATTTTAATATTAAAATTAGTTTTGTTTTCTATCTAGTACTAGAAAAAATATTGTCATATTTAAAATTTTTTTTTAATTTATTTTTTAGAAATAGAGAAGGGAGAGAGAAAGAAAGGGAGAGAAACATGGATCCGTTGCTTTTCATATGCATCCCAACCAGGCACCAAACCTACAACCTAGGCCTATGCCCTTACTGAAATCGACTGGTGATTTTTAGCTTTGCAGGACAATGCCCAACCAAACCATACTGGTTAGGGCAGAAGGCTGTCATTTTTTAAAAGAATATCTAATTACAGTCTAACTCTCAGTCATATCCCCTAATATTGTTATCTTAAGAACATGTTTATGATGCTGTTTAGTATTTATACAGTGAAATGCTCTGCTGTTACATTGGTGGTATCTTTACTTGGCAACTGTGAATTCTGTTGAAAATACATTAAGTGAGTATAAGGATTCTTTCAACAAAGTTGCAGAAATTCATGCATAATTGTTCCTTAAATAACATTAGCCTCTTTTTTTTAATGATTTGGGGACTAAGCATTTCAAGCAACTATAGAATTGATAAATATCTTTTTTTGCTTAAAATTTACCATTCTTTACAAATACCTTTGATCTTTAAAAAAAATGTTTTTGAACTTCAGCCAGTTACCAAATACGTTAATATTTTAGAAATCTCAGTATGACAGTCTATTACAAATTTGGCAGAGAGGAAGGTAAAATAGTCTGAAGGGAGAGATATTAAACAATTAGTGTGTCTTTAAATTCACTGGCAAGTTTATGAGAAAGAGTGATATTAAACTTGTTTCATTGCAATTTTATGAATTGAATGCTGAAGTTTCTATTATCCAGCTAAGTAGTTTTGGTGCCTCAAGATTTCTTTCTTTTTTTTAAAAAAAAATCATTGTTCAAATACAGTTTTCTCCTTTTTACTCCCAATCCAGTCCCCCCTCCCAACCCTCCCCACTTCCCTCCCATTACCACCCTCCCCTTAGTTTATGACCCTGTGTCCTTTAAGTTTGTTCCCGTGAACCCTTCCCTCTGTCCCCTTAAATTCCCTCTACTCTCTTCTGTGGGCACTGTCAGCCTGGCCTCTATTTCAGTGTCTTTGGTTACATTTTGTTTGTTTCTTTGTTTTGTTATTTAGGTTCCTGTTAAAGGTGAGATCATATGGTATTTGTCTTTCATTGCCTGGCTTGTTTCACTTAGCATAATGTTTAAAAATATGGAACGCTTCACGAATTTGCGTGTCATCCTTGCGCAGGGGCCATGCTAATCTTCTCTGTATCGTTCCAATTTTAGTATATGTGCTGCCAAAGTGAGCACAAGATTTCTTAATATAGCATATTATTGCTTTAAAAGCAAAATACAAATATCTATTAGATTTGTCATTAGAATCTTTTAACATATTATTAATTATTCCAGTTTACTAAAATTAAGAAACTACTGCTAACTTTAACCAAAAAAGCTGTGATATCTGTGGCAAACATTGACAGGGATTAACTGGGAAATACATGTGTAACTTTTGAATAATATACTATGAGATCCCATCTAAAATATAAATTAGGAACCATTTTTTTGTCTCAAACTTAAATTATCACATAGTTGTTATTAACAAAAATCACTACTATGTAAGCTGCAATTTAGCAAAAAATGAAACAATGCATATGTTCATTTTAAAGTTGAATTTTTAGCATTTAGTTATTTCTGTCATCTACTAGAATTAGATATGAAAGGTAAGAAAGACTTTAAATGATTTTAAAATAAGCAGTTGTTTAAAAATAGAGATAAAATTTAATTCTTTTCATATCTAAAAGAATGAGACCAAAAGTTTTTTTCCCCCAGAATGTATGTTTGAAATAGCTAAAGTTAATGATAGATGAAAATTTTATTTCAAGAATTGAAATATTTCCCTAATTGGGTAGTTCAGTTGGTTAGAGTGTTAATGCAGTATGCCAAGTTGCGGTTGTGGGTTTGATCCCTGGGCAGGGTACGTACAAGGATCAACCATTGAATGCATAAGGAAGTGGAACAAGAAGTTGATTTCTGTCTCTCTCTCTCTTCCTTCCTCCCTTTCTCTAAAATCAGTTTAAAAAAATTTAAAGAATTGAGATATTGATGTTATTATGAAATATGGTTGAGTTGAGAGCTTCATAGTTGCACTTTATTGCTATGACACTTAATACTTTTATAAATTATGCTTTCTTCCCCCACATTCCTCAAAATAATATCTTTCAATTATAGATTTGGCCTGAACTGATAATACATTTGGCTTTTTTTTTTAATATATTTCATAGTGTTTCAGCTATCCATTTCTTGAGAAAATTTTCCTAATGCCAGTGTGTCTGGGAAAGACAGATGATTCTCAGTGTACGTTGGCCATCTTTTCCCAGCTTATGTTACAGTAGAACCCTGTTTTTCAAGACTAAGAACATCCTTAGCAAGATCAATTCAATGGAATACAGTTTGGGAAATGTTAGTCTATGTACTTTACTACAAATACCTGAAGCTTCTATTTGGGGTTGTAACCCCTTAACATCCTTAGTGAAGAAATCAAAGATAGTCAAGATGAAGTTGAAAGAAGTGATGACTGTAGGATAGTTTTCAAGGTTTATCAGAAGCATAGGTGTTTTGGGATGGTGAAGCACAGAGTCGGTGATTTCTGGTTCCTTCAAAATTAAGGCATGCATGTTTTTTGAACTTTAGCATATTTTGTTATTTCATTGGCTTAAGTTTCTTAAGGTATGGTTAAGAACTTTTTAAAATCAAATTTCTAAGCTAAAGAATTAACTCCAACAGAAGTGAGAGAATTGTAAATGTTTTTTAATCAGTTTTTAGGAAATGTTTCCAAAGATAGATGTAGAGATTCATTTTAAACCTTTTTCTATTCACTAATATTTGTAGTCTTTTTAAAAAATCAGTTATTTAGTAAAACATAGAAATTATAAACAATTATTCAATGAAATAAAAACCTTCATTCTTTGCATAAAAAAACTGTTTTAATGTTTTATTATAGCTGTATCATTTTTCCCCAAATAAGTCATATTTTGAATGATGTTTTTTCCCCTAGATTCTTATAAATAGATTATTCGATGTTCCACATGATCCATATGTCAAAATTAGTGATTCTTTTTGGCCGCCTTATATTGAGCTGCTCCTGCGAAATGGGATTGCCTTGAGACATCCAGAAGATCCAACAAGAATAAGATTAGAAGCTTTCCATCAGTAAAAGGGTGGTCTCTTTTTCACATAGTACTTAAAGAATCTTGTCTTCAAAGATAATGGAAACACTGAGTATTGCTTGGATAAAGAACATTATTTGCAAGTAAAAGCACGTTGTCCATATTCCTTTTCTCCTTAAAATGACACATGCTGCCGTCTACTATTTGCTTTAGAAACGGTCCTTTTACATATGGGTCAGTTCTTTGGTGTATCAAACTGGATGGACAAGGATGCAAGTAAAAATATTCTAGACTTAATCATTATAAAATATTTAATATACCTAACTTTTGAAATAATCTTTGGGAATTTCTTTGTTAAATTATGATATTGCTAATGTCATAAATTTTTTTCTAAATGTATGAGTTTCTTTTGTGCATTTTTCTGCTACTTACCTCCTTTACATTTAGGAATTATTATTGAAAGGCCACTTAATATGGAGATGGTTTCAAAATTGACTTAATATCTGTTGTAGAATGAAGCATAATTCAAAAGCATTTAGTAAATCTATTCCATGAATACTGCCTTATTTCTAGATTTGTTAAAAACTGAAATATTAAAAAATGGCTAAAGGTAGTAGACAGAAAATTCATTTAATGTGTATGTATCATATATCAAGTAATATATCTTAAATGACTTTTGATTCTGTTAATTATTACTAATGAAATTGTATTCATAAAATGGTGTTAATCTTTGTGACTTTTCTATAAATAAAATTCTCTTTTCTTAAAATATCTAGCTTTTTTGGTGATGTGCCATGACATTTTTATAAACTAAACAGACTTTTTATAGGTAGATAAATGAAGATATGGGGCTCATTCAGGATTAAATAGTAGCTAAACTGTAGAATTCCAAACCCACTTGGTGTTGTCACTGGACTAAATGGGTTCATTTGCCTACACTCATCAAAGCCCAATAAGAGGCCCTGGTCAGGTAGCTCAGTTGGTTAGAGCATCATCCCCTTTTGCCTAGGTTGCAGGTTTGATCTCCGGTTAGGACATATATAAGAAGCAACCAATAAATGCATAAATAAATAGAAAAACTAATCGATGTTTCTCTTTCTTTTTCTCTCTTACTCTCTGCAGTCAATAACATTAAAAAAAAAAAAAGCCCAGTAATATATGAACAGGACCTTGCACAAAAAATGTAAGAGTTTATTAGTTCAGGAAGTGGCCCATGCTGGAAGTCACAGGTGAGCTAATGCTCAAAGACCTGGCTAATCAATGGTTTCTGGGGACAGGTTATATGGGGGAAAATCATTAAGCATGATGACTGAGGGAGTTAAGGTCATGGTCTTTACTGATTGGTTGGTGTATCAGATCTTTATGTAGGAAATAGTGTTGCTTCATCTGGTTTTACTACTTCTCTGGGTCTGGAACTGAAACAACTGAGACCTAGATGTTATCGTTAGTTTGACGAAACTGTCTGGTCAGCAGACCTGAGGCCTTGTTCTGAAGATCATTTGATACTGATCAGAATCTCATTGTCGTGAGGGTGGAGTGATCAGGAGCGGATGTGCAAGGGAGAAGGAGGCTGGTGAGTCAGGGTGATGGATGAAGACAGTTTGAATCAAAGAGGAAAGAAGAGAAAAGGTCATGTTAAATGAAGTTGTTGCGTGGTTACAATCTCCCCCTTTTCTTCTGATCATTCCTCAATCTTGAAGAATATAGGGCATCTGGGTCCAGGTTCAATCAAGAGGGAACATTAGCTTATAAGATGGAGTCAAATATGTCTGCCTATTGTGCCTCTTAAAATCTCAAATGCCCACCTCTTCCCTTGAGGTCCTTGTGTCCTAGAGGGGCATTCTAGTTGAATTTATAAGCAGGAACCACAGCAATGGTAGATGCAGAAGCATTAGGCCAGTATACCTGTACCCCAAGTACTCAGAGCACACCACAACTAGTCTCTGAGTCTTTAAGACTGCCGTAGAGAAGACCTATGAGAGGCTCATAGCTTCTTTTTTTGTTAGAATGAAGGGAAGCCGTGACAGTTGAACAGACCCCTGGCCCGCAGTTCGAACGTCCCTGATGAACATCCTGGTACAAGCTCCCTGCGTGGCTTACACAGTATCAGTCACCGAAGCCATCCAAGCACAAGCTGTTACGATTTCTCAGAAGTTTACATTATGTTGTACTCAACAGCAAGGCCAAAGGAAAAACAGTTTTGTTCTCAATAACTCCAAGGCAAAGGGTAGGAGGAAAATGAAGCAATAGTTCAGAGGGTTGTAGCCAAATACTTTCATTAAAAAATTCAGGATCCAGTCTGGTCTACAGATGAAAAATAAGATTTTAAAGCAACTGAGCTAGAATCTAATATCTACAAATGGACATTATGTTTTCTATTGAAACATTTTCTCTCTGAAATCACCCTCATTTTATCAAGGATAACCAAGTTAAGACTAACTGTATAACAACAAACTTGGCCTGTTATTTGCACACATATGACAAGAATAGTAATTGATCATATAGGCTGTTTTAAGTATGCTCTGCTGGAATTTCATAAGGAATCTCCAAATTGAACTCTAATCTCCCAGGGGTGAGAAGCCAAGCCACATAGTTGCCATCAGCATTCACCTGCAATACTTACTTCTTCAGGTGAATTCTTTTAAGTTCTTGAGGTTCCCCCAAATGTTCTGAGGGTCTTATTTTGCCATCTCCCAGGAAAGCAACCTTAATTCCTTACCTGGAAGAACTGCTGTGAACCATGCAAGTAAAGTACTGAGCTGTTTTTTCAATGGGGTTTTTATTGACTTTCAAAGTCAGTATTAGTTCCTTAAACCTTTCTGATGACATCCAGAGTCTGTGCATGCCTCTTTCAAATATGACATTCCAGTCAAAGTCTTGGTGATAAATTAATTTCCAATTGTGTCCTGTTATAAAAACATGTTTCCATTGAATGTATGTAAATCATATTCCCATGGAATATAATACTCATTCAGAGTCTCTGAACTTCTAGAGGGATCAGGTAGGGAGAAAAATATGCTTCAACATTGCTTACAAAGGTATAATTTTCAAAATTGCTCTAAGTCAAGGTAGTTTAAGAGAAAGCAAGTATTCTTATATCTAAGAAACAAAAAAGATTAAGAATTAGCAATATTTTCAACAAAAGTTATAAAAATTTTAATCATCCTCAGTTCATTCAGTACATTATTAATTCTTGTCTATGTTGATCCTTTGCCTGCAATTCCTGAATCCAGTTATTCCTTAGAGTTTTATAAATCTTCACTGAGTTTAAAGGTATAATCTGAAAGTTTATTTTCAGAAAACTCTTAGAATAAATCAGAGTTCTTTGTATGGATCTTTCTAAAGATGAAACATACTTGCAAAAGCATCAGTATAAAACAATAACTGTATATAAATGACAAAACTAAATGACATGACTATAGACCTGATTATAAGGTAATTGACAAAGCACTTTGCTTTTCTGTAACATAACATTTTTTTAGACTATCTAGAGTCCTAGAGATTTTTATGTACAATATATAATATAATAATAAGGATACATGCACACAAATACAACTATTTTCTTACTTGACAAAGCTTGTGCATTCAGACATCAAATAGGCCTAAGAAGTTTAAAACTTCTCCCTTCAAGGACAAGAAGAAAAATGATTTGAGGTGTTGCAGGCATCCATCCATTGGAACAACTGAAAACTATTTCTAGGTTAAGAAAAAAGTCTCCTGTTAAAATTTGAACTCTAGAAAGTGTCAAACTCACTTGACAAAAAAAATTCATTATGAATATTATTTACCCAAATTGACAAACCATATGAAAAATGCAGATTAGCAAAATTTAGTTTTCAGATTCAGAAAATCATTTTCTTAAGTAATCAAGTGACTGATAAAGACAACTGAAAACTACGTTTTAATATATTTTATTGATTATGCTATTACAGTTGTCCCATGTTTTCCCCCTTCACTCCCCTCCACCCTGCACAGCCCCTCCCACCCACATTCCCACCCTTTAGTTCATGTCCATCCATCACATATAAATTCTTGGGCTTCTACATTTCCTGTACTATTCTTTTTATTTTATTTATTTTATTTTGAAATTACTTTAGAAATAGAAAACATCTGGGGAAAAATGAAAGAATGCAAAATATGCAGGTAATTTTTATATTCCACGAGCTTCTCAAATCCTCTCTTGGGGACCAGTCCCCAAGAGGAAAAACCCTCCTCCAAAAAGGTATTCAGCCACCCACAATGATGTTATTAATGGGGATATGGATCAATTTCACAAAAAAGCCAATGAACCCCATTATAGCAAATCCTATTGCTGTTGCCATGGCAATCTTCCGGAACTCTTTTCTATCGCGTTTGGTGCATCTTTTCACCAGCCGGATTGAATCCTTCACAAACTGCCCACTGGGCTCGACAAACTGCATTACCTGGTCCATGCTGCCCACCGACACCTCGGTTGTTTGGGACACGCAGCTCAGGAGCGGAGGGACCACAGCCCACTGGAACTGGAAACTCCCTGTACTATTTTTAACCTCCCCCTGTCTATTTTGTACCTACCATCTATGCTACTTATTCTCTGTACCTTTTTCCCCTCTCTCCCCTTCCCACTCCCCTGTTGCTAACCCTCCATGTGATCTCCATTTCTGTGGTTCTGTTCCAGTTCTAATTGTTTGCTTAGTTTCTTTTTTCTTTTTGTTTTAGGTGTAGTTGTTAATAATTGAGTTTGCTGTCATTTTATGTTCACATTTTTATCTTCTTAGATAAGTCCCTTTAGTCCCTTTAACACTTCATATAAAAGGGCTTGGTGATGATGAACTCCTTTAACCTGGCCTTATCTGAGAAGCACTTGATCTGCCCTTCCATTCTAAATGAAAGCTTTGCTGGATAGAGTAATTTTAGATGTAGGTCCTTGCCTTTCATGACTGGGAATACTTCTTTCCAGCCCCTCTTGCCTGCAAGGTCTCTTTGAGAAATCAGAAAACAGTCTGATGGGAACTTCTTTGTAGGGGACTGTCCCCTTATCTCTTGCTGCTTCTAGGATTCTCTCCTTATCTTTAATCTTGGCTAATGTAATTACGATGTGCCTTGGTGTTCCTCCTTGGGTCCAACTTCTTTGGGACTCTGAGCTTCCTGGACTTCCTGGAAGTCTATTTCCTTTGCCAGATTGGGGAAGTTCTTTATTTATTCAAATAAGTTTTCAATTTGTTGCTCTTCCTCTTCTCCCTCTGGCACCCCTATGATTTGTATGTTGGAACGTTTAAAGATGCCCTGGAGGTTCCTACGCCTCTCCTCATTTTTTTGAATTCTTATTTCTTCCTTCTTTTCTGTTTGGTTGTTTCTTTCTTCCTTCTGGTCCACACAGTTGATTTGAGTCCCAGTTTCATTCCTGTCACTGTTGGTTCCCTGTACATTTTCCTTTATTTCACTTAGCATAGCCTTCATTTTTTCATCTAATTTGGGACCACATTTAACCAATTCAAATTCATCCTGATCACCAGTGTTTTGAACTGTGCATCTGATAGGTTGGCTATCTCTTTCATTGCTTAGTTGTATTTGCTGTGGAGCTTTGATCTGTTCTTCCATTTGAGCCCTTTTTGTTTGTTTGTTTGTTTGTTTGTTTTGTCTTCACGTTCCTGTTACGTAGCAAGGTGTTCATCAGGGCAGGGCAACCCATGTTGCTGCGTGGTGATGCTGTCTGTGGGGGAGGAGTCCAAGAGGGAACAATGCTACTTACTCCACTCTGATGGTTTTCAGTCACTTTCCCTGCTACCCACAAGCAAATTGGGCCCTTCTGGTGCTGATTCCTGGGTGGGTGGGTTTGTGTACATTCTAGGACCCTGTGGGTCTCTCCAACGAACTCTCCTGTGGGGCTGGGAGTTTCTCTTGCTGCTACCTCTACTCCCACTGGTGTTTTCAATAAAAGGTTTGAGGGTTTATTTCCCTCCCCGCTGGAGCCCTGGGTTGCAAGGTCTGTCTCGCCCCCATTGTTCTTCCTGGTTTATCCACAGGCGAATGTGGGACCACCCGCTCAACCAGCTGCTGCCTCGCTGGCTCGGCCTGCTGCCACCTTGCCAGCCAGCTGCAGCCTTGCCTGCCTCAATCCATAATCCACCACCTCGCTGGGTCTGCCAGCCGCCACCTTGCTTCGAGTCCTCTCTGCCCGGCTGCCGGTCTCTGCCCCTCCTACCGGTCCAGTTGAATGTTTCTTCTGTAACTCCTTGTTTGTCAGACTTCCATACAGTTTGATTTTCTGTCAGTTATGGTTGTTTTTTGTTTTTAAATTGTTGTTGTCCTTCTTTTGGTTGTTCAAGAAGGCACAGTATGTCTGCCTATGCTTCCATCTTGGCCAGAAGTCTCCAACAGAAAGCTGTTTTAATAGAATGTCTCTTTTAGGAAGAAACATCTGAAGTAGAATAAATACAAGAAAAACTTTCTTTTAACAGAGTGAAAAAGAACTAAACTTTAATTCTGCATAGCGTACTTTTGATATTTAAATTCATTTACATAGTTACATTTTCATCTTACTTAGCTTAACTGTGTATAAAATCTCAAAATCTTCATAGACCTTCTATAACTTTCTTAGTCCCTCTTAGTTTGTCTCTTCTTATTCATTCAGAAGTAACCAGCCTTAATTTAGGGCAAATCTTGTTCTTTTAATTACATTAAAAATGTATTACCATACCTTATACCTTTTATTACTAAAAACATATAATTTCTTTCCATTTTAATTAGAAATCTTAACTTTGGAACCTCAATTTCCACTGACAACTGAAAAGTAAGCAATTAGTATTCTTTAGGTTGATATATTTATTAACACATTTAATAATTTCTAAAAATATATTTTCTAATAGCACAGTTTTTAATGTGGCATAAGACATGTTTACAAGTGGACCCAAATATCTTTATTTTCTTTATAATAAGCAGAAGGATAAATCTATGTTCAGTAATTAATGTTTGATTATTTTATCTTATTTAGAAATGGTCTAGATGATCTCTTATTTAATATACCTAGCAAAACTTTAAATTCAGCCCTGGCTAGTGTGACTCAGTGGGTTGGGTGCCTGTCTGTGAACAAAGGGTCACTGGTTCGATTCCCAGTCAGGCACACTTGCCTGGGTTGTGGACCCTGGTAGGGGGCAACATATTGATGTTTCCCTCTCTCTCCTCCCTCCGTTCCCTCCCTTTCCCTCCTTCTAAAAATAAATAAATAAAATCTTTTTAAAAAACTTTAAATTCAGTTTCCAGTTACCACAGATTTATAGAAATATTTAAGTACACTACAATTGTTGCTAAAGAGTTAACTTAAAAGAAACTAAACTTTTATCTTCTTTACACTTATTTAATTTGCATGGCTTGTAGCAATTAAATTTAGATTACTGATGAAAATTTCATCATAACAAGTTTCTTTCTGACAAATTTTACAACAGAGATAACACGGACATATTTAAGTAATAAACCCAGATAGAATAAAACTATTATTCAATCCTGATGATTTTAAAGCTATACATATATTTTTTTAAGATTTTATTTATTTTTAGAAAGAGGGGAAAGGAGGGAGAGACACATCAATGTGTGATTGACTCTTACATGCCCCCTACCAGGGACCTGGCCTGCAACCCAGGCATGTGCCCTAACTGGGAATTGAACTAGCAACCCTTTGGGTTCATAGTCCTGTGCTCAATCCACTGAGCTACACCAACCAGGGTTAAAGCTATACATGCTTAACCAGACCAATCTCAAACCAGCTTTAATATAAAATATTTTTCAGTTCATGTGATTCTGTAAAGCATTTTAGCTAGTTTCTGTTATATTTTTGAGAATTCTCATATAAGTACTTGTTTGTTTAAGCCAACTTAATAGACTTCTTTTTTAAAAAAAATTGAGACTACCATTCAGATGTATAAAATACCACAATGCACATGGACAGACACACAGATCTTTCAGCCATGAGACAGGCACCATTAAGCAACAATCACTAATTTAAGGAGGAACAGCTGGAATAAGGTAAATTGATTTGCTCAAATGACTAGGGTTTTTTCCTTTTAATATTTGTGGAAAAACCACTTAAATCTATGTTTGTCCTTGATAAGGGAGCCTTGGAGCCATAGAAGCACTTTGTGCTTTCAAAAACATCTCAGCCTTCTTTTTGTCTTAGGAATTGAGATGATAAAGATAAGTGGGCTGTAACTTCAAGACCTGCATTTCTGATTTCACGAAGGCTTATGAGATATGGACAGCTGCTCTCAAAGTGGTGTTGAAACAAGTGATATCATATGTTGACCTACCTGTGCATACAATCTCTTATTTACGTCTTTCCCTCTGAGCACATAGTTTTATTTTATCTTAGGAAGGGGACTAAAAAATTTCCTATCACTGTCTGTCATTAGTTTTGAAAATGGCCAAGTTTTTGATCAAAGACATTAAATCTTCCAAGTATCTTGCCAGGTTTCAGCTGGAAGAGACAATGAACTTTTCTGGCATTATGAACCAATTCCATGGGCCTGAGAGAGAGCAAAGGCCTTCTAGAGTTGTTTTATTTGATAGTCCGAAAGAAAGAACTGACAGCCTTCACATCCCAGTTCCCAATGAGACAGTACAATCAGGAAAAGAGATAAAATCACTTGAAGTTGCCACAGCTTTAATGTAAAGCTTGTTTAAATACACCAATTTTCCTAATCATATCAGTCCTTACATTTTCATATACTTTAATCTTGTATTCTGAGTCAGGACTTCACCATTGGGTTTTTGTACCACAGTTCAGGAATTCTCATTTCGAGGAGTGCTGGAAATTTCTTTTTTATTCCCTGACCATTTTACCCACTTTTGAGCAAAGAGGCTTTGGGCCCCCAGCAGGGTGTCAGGCCAAAGGACCTTGGCCCTGTTAGCAGTCTTGAAGTTGATTTAGCCAGCCTGACTATTGATTCAAGTGATTTCTCACTGTAATCTCTTCCTTCCAGTCTTTTAAATCTCTCCACACTGGGGTAAATAGAGTGGACTTGTTTGGGAGCCTTCCATCTTAGAAAGCCAACAGGGGGTCAGCTTTGCCCCATTCAGCTTTTGGTAGTGCTGTGCCAAAACCTTTGTCTTAACCCTGTTAATGTCTGTTTCACTTAGCCCAATTTTTTGTTTTATAGGTTTTTAGCTAAATGTGCTTCAGTTCCGTGAGAGATAGAGAACTGCCCAGAGAACTACATGGGATACAGAGACAGAATTCCATATGTTACTAAGTTCTTTATCAAAGTAGTTACTTATTTTCAGCTCAAGCAATCTTAAGTCAGTCCTAGGATGAGACAGCACACAACAGAACAAACAGTGAACAAGCAATTTCAAGATCTAACAATTCAGCCCTGGCTGGACGTCATCCTGCAAACCAGAAGGTTGCCGATTCAGTGTCTGGTCAGGGCACATACCTGGGTTGGGGACCAGGTCCCCAGTG